TTAGTCAACCTGATCATTGGTTTCAGTCAATTCAACACTCAGTCCGATGAACTTACTTTACTGAGACTGACGACCGGTACGTCCACCCACATCACCTATGGGCAAAATTGTGTAGCTCCCGAGAAACTGAGGAAACCGAGTGGAACAAAAGGTGGATGCGATGTAGATCCCTTGCAAACGATATGCTTAACTAAGAGCAACTACTACTATTACTACAAGGCTTCCGTAAGTATATCACTCGAGGGACGGGACCAAAGTGGTCGAAATACAGTCGTCTGGATCCATAAGGTTTACTTGGTGGACGTTCCAACAATGAAAAAGCTGGGCAACTTAGGCTTGTCGTCAGGATATAGAGGGGTTCAATTTCGGTGGTTATACTGTATACTGCTGCACACTGTTATTCGTAGTGCGGATGTTCAGCTACTAGGAATAACTCTGCACCTCACTAGTAGGCTGGTTGGTGTCATCAGCTGTTGAAGTTTCCATTCACCCGTAGTCCCACGTTCTTCTGCTACGAGGCTCCACCAACTACCGAACTTAATTGTGCCTACCGAGCACTCCTATGTTGGCTGGACTTTTGACCTAGTTGGCTTCCGGTGGACCAGAGCTAACGATTAATTGCCCTTTCATGTTATGTCTACCATGGATACAAAGTTATCAGGCCAGTGGATAGCTCGTCCTAACGCGTTTAGTACGAGGCATCGTAAGCTGGGCGCAGACGATTATCAAATAACTCCCCTGATCAAAAATTCGTGTCAATGCTCCCTATTTTCCTGTCCAGTAAGTGTATTGATACAGTGATCACTTTTTCATCCGCTTTTGTTGCCTTAGTTCCGCGAGTTTGATTGACTGACCTGTGCACAAATAGATGACTCGGTTAATCTAGGCAAAGTAATAGGCACAATTCCTCACTTGTTTGATTTGGGTTTATGAACACATTAGAAGCTATCGGGTTTGTAGTTTTGGCTTTACACTCCGCTATGCTCAAAGTTTGCCTGGATCCTCAAAATTGCCTGAAGAATAAAGTGAGATGTGCCTGTGTGCTGATGCCAATTAAACATTAAGGGAAAGGCGTTAACAGATCACACGTTATACAGCACGGTGCATTGGGCAAACCAAATCACATTGATCGCAAATAAGTAGTCCACTCGCGACTTGGGAATAAGTGCCAGGCAATGACAAGGGAGCACGGGTGGTATCCGTAAAGTAACACGGGACACCTAGGCACGTGATCACATGCCTAAGTTGGTTGTATTCGGACACTTAGACTTCCATGAAGAGGTTTAGTGTAGGTGCATGTACATAAATAGCCATTGAGAAGGATCTGCCACCAAGCCTGGACTAATCAGGCGTCCTCGATAGTACATGTGTGTCAGATTAATTAAGCAATCTAATATTACTTATGTACTCTCGAATTTCATGAGACACGCTTAGTGAGGCAAGATCAAGCAGTTAAAATCAGTTGCAAGATGTCGACCACAATTCCATCGAAAATTGTGGCGTATAACAGTAAATACAGAGATTTCGTCCTCATCTTCGATGTCCACATTACTCTTATTGGAGTCTACATTTAAATTTCTTTCTCCCAGACACCTCACTCGCTCAAGTCTCGTGAATGCTACAACCAACATCCGATATCCCTGAGTAGCCTTGAGTGAAACGACAGTCATGTGCAAGAAAATTTACACTTAGGTATTATAACAAATAGTTATGTTAAATTCATTTTCCTATTATCCAACAGCATCTTTTAAGAGTCAGTAATCATATACTCGAGGTGCCCACTATCCCAGATTAAGACATCCTTTGCAGCATCGTTTAACACACTGCTATAGCAAACAACAATTACGCCCTGTCAACATTGAAAGCCCATTTACAGCACTGTTGTACATTCTCCATTTGCTTTTGGTCGTTGCACTGGAGATGCTTTTAATCACCTTAACATGCCGTTATAGGCGTGTCTAGCCGAAAACGTATTTCTTATTTTAACTTGTCAAATGGAACTGTTGAAAAACAGAAACAGGACGTCCAATCACAGAACGCCACTGACTTGGTAAGTGCGCTAAGTACCATAAGATATCTTACTTCATATATTATCGATCCTGAAGGAAGATTACACGCAGAAATAACACTTATCCTTTCGGCAAAGTTATTTGTGTACCTTTGATTTGTTACTGACTAGCCACCTCGTACAATTCGCTGCACTTCAGAGAGACCTGGACAAGGTATACTAATGCTCACCTCAAAATATGCTCCAGCTTAATTCGTCTACGTGTAGGATGGCTCGCATTCGTCACCACTCGAACATGATATACAAGCTTGGAGGTCATGTGCTGCAAGCATTCATCCAGAAGCGCGACCTTGGGGTGTTAATCCAGGCTGATTTGCGCTGCTCAGAACAGTCTGAGATGACGTCAAAGAATTAGTATCAACACTTTGGCGTGTTGCAGCGGCCATTTGGGCTATTTGATCCCTCTGTTTTCTTCGCAGTTGCTTAACAGATACGTGCGGGTTCATGTAGCATAAGCAATTCAGTCCTGGCAGCCCGGGTACAAGCAAGATCTCGCAACACTCGAGATTCCACAGCGAAGAGCACCAAACACTTCAAAGCGTTGTTTAATCTTCCATGTCAACATATGCTGAGGACTCTGATTGTACCGCGGCCAGTATCAGCGTCTACGTGACGACCTAATAATAGCCTACCAGATTTTGCGAAACCCCAACAGTATTTGCCGTCACCTACTGCAACTTATTTGCAATACGAATTTGATGGGTCAACAGCTCAATTTGTCCATGCAACACAGTCGGCTAGAATGCCGGCGAAACATTTACTCCTTTCTGGCTTATCAGCCATAGAACACCCTACTATTAATTACGTTGTTTCCTTCCCCACGTAACCTGTGTTTACAAACGCCTTGACGTTGCCCTGACCAACGAGATACAGCCTGTATGCATCGATAGACGGTTTAATGTGAAAAACGTTACACAACTAACGCTAATCTACACACTCGTAGTTGGCTCTTTTCTGTATCTCTGTGTGAAAATTGTGGTGAGTCCGCCAAAAAGAATTTCATTTTATCATTTTATTTCCTTTTCACCATTTTATGGTTCTCATCCTGGCCATCCTGCGGGACCTGTTAAGCATCTGTCCTTTAATAACCCGTAATATATTAATGTTCCATTGTTCCATATCAAAACGCCTACCATCAAGCACCAGATAATGAACTTCGGATTTATTCAATCGGTTTTCCAATTACACATGAGCAATATTTCGTAGACATCAGCGCTAGAACATGTTAAATCCATCATATAAACAGAGTTCAGTAAATAAGTTTTTGATCACTACAGTATCAATGGACGCATCCTTCTCTCGGCCATTAGGCTGAATTCTCACCTTTTCTACAGGTGATTCACATGTTGATTAATCACGTGAATCCCAGCAATGTTTGCAGTCGACTGTTCGGGTATGCGATACCACTACCTGCGCAAGTAAAACCATCCGGCATTTCGTGCGATTCAGGTCAAGTCAAAATAACGCAGATGAGTTACACACCACAACTGTTCATCTAATAGAAGATAATGTCAACAAAATATACATGAGCGGGGAGAAGATTGGAATATGTGCACAGCTGTCACTCCAACAGCAGCTGGCGCAGCATGTTTATGATTTTAAATGGGTCGCCATGCCAACGTGGTAGATGTGATAACATAGTATTGCGATACAATGAAGTGCGGGAAAATAAAATTTTTTAATTTCGAACGCGAGTAGGAGAGCCTTTTCTTAAGACCACTATGCACTGAATTAAATCATTTATTTAAGGTGTTAGAACCAGTTTATGACAGGCATCAATATATATATATATATATATATATATATATATATATATTCAAATTTCACCCTTGCTCACGGGGTGGAACCTCATCAGAAAAGCTGAAGGGGGGTAGAGAGGTCACGCGCGCTTGTTCCTATTGCGAAGTTTATGAGGAATGGAGAGATAGAGCGGCCTTATAACGGTTGTCCTTCACAAGCCGTCGGTATTGTGTATTTCCACTGGCCAAACCACTTATAACTTCACAGGGTACTTAGTAATCTTAATATACAGAAACGTTAGCATCCTTTGCTAAGTTTTTATCATCCCCACTGTCATTCTTTACGGAGGCAGTAGTAGCAGTACTTGGTACTGGTGGTCGTGCTAACGAAAATTAGAAAGGAGAATGGAGAACCTATATGGAGGTCCTATATGATCTACACAGAGACTAATGCGCATTCTGTCTCCATCTCACCAGAGGCACACAGTCGCAAACACTTGGCTTTTAGGTGGAGACGAGTGTAATTGCAAGAGCAGAATTTTTAAGACTTCTAGTGTCTAGTCTTATAATCAGACCTATCCACGAATAGTTCAGTGTCGTCCACACTTTACACAGGTACTCCGGTTAGGAGACGATAGCAAATGTGTTGCCGGAACTGACTGCGTGTCATGCGCTGTCTCAATCGCAGTTCAAGGTGGACCACGCGGAATGACAACGAGCTAAATCATGGCTAATTACACATTCGCATCGATTGTCGGTACCTGTAATAGCCCGTAAGCTTAATCTCAATCCTGAAGAGTTTCGTTTTTGTTTGCAGCTTCTCACTAAACTCAGAACTCGCGTGTCACCAGCCAGTGCTTTTTCCGACACTAGTGGCTATCCGACAGAGTGTTTTACCTAACCATTTTGAACTATTCCTCTGAGCCAATGATTTATAGCTAACAAGTGAGATAAATCTGATGTCAGTTTTTCTTATAATATCGTCGGATATATACTCCTGTTTCCTCGCATGATTACTCAAATCGATCTTTAGGGTAAACGTGGGGGAGCCGTAAGTTTTGCAGTGCTCAAACCAGTGATCACCTTTGGCAAATCCCACACATATCGTATCATACTAGTTTCGGAGAAATACAAAACTTGGTACCTACAGCGTGTCATCTTCAACTTACTTTCTACCTTTTGTCCCGCCACAGGATCAGACGTACTCGCGAACACCAACCTTCAACGTGCATTCTAACGCATCACCTGACGAGGACGATGATTTAGGAAACGACTGCTGTGCAATTTCAAATGACCCTCTTATATATGGCCCAGGACGAGGGAGCTGTATTCTGGCGACAGCGATGCTCGTTATCTTTATCCTAATGGTTCTCGCTGGTACACTGGCAACATTGATTCATTACACAGCCGGCATCGAATTCGACACCTATAACAGAGGCCGTGTCGTCGGTCCTTTACTCCTCGGTCTGAGCACCATTCCTCTACTATGCGTGTGTTTGTGCATGTGGCAAGCGAGAAGTAGAGTGGCAGCATATGTGGAACAGCAGAAGTTCGCACACGCTGCGGAAGAGCGGGCCACATATCGTCAGTATCAGGTAAGTGGGAAGCTGCCTCTCTGCATTCGGATACTCTGTGTCCAGATGCCGTTTCCTTCAGAGTGTACATTCCATTTTTTCCCGAGTTGTTGGCAGGATGTTAGTTGGCTGGCTGAGCAAAATCACGAAGTGCTTTTGCTAAGCTCCGTCACCTATGGCGCCGCCGTGACATCACTCTAGCCGTGAAAGGCAAAGTAGGTAATGCAGCCGTCTGTTCAACCCACTTATACAGTTGTGAAACCTGTCCCATCAGGTCGACAGACATAAGGAGGCTAGTCTTGTTCGATCATCACTGCCTCCGCAGTTTACCTCATATCTGGTGTATGCACCGCGTGAACAATGAGTGTGTTCGACAACATGTATTTGCTACAATAAGAGAGAGTGAACCGCTCCGCACCATTATATCACGTACCAGGCTCTGATGGCTGGGTCACTTATTGCGCATACCAGCGCACAGACTTCCACGACGTTCGTGTTTTGCGCGCCGAGAATGCGGTTGGAAGAGGAGGACGGGAGAGCAAGCGATGACTTGGTCGTGAGCAATTAAAACCCTCACTTTTACGGCGTCGGTTGGTGCATCCCGACTGCGGGGTTGGCGTCCCAAGTAGGATGAACACGTTTGGTTGGACACACGTTCTGATATGGCGAAGAGTCGATCCCACTGGCGTTTATTTGGTGGGGATTTTTGTCCACCCTTCCCCTTTAGATTCTCCTCCAATTAGGATCCAATAGTAACTGAATAACATGATATTAAACAGTATATTACTTGCGTTTGTACTTTTTTGTAGCGTAAGTTTTTAGTATCTTATCTTTTTGTGTTACGGCAAAGTAGTCGGGGTGTCTTCCTCACCCTCAGCTAACGTGCATTGACGATGAGGACTGGCTGGCCTTGAATCCTAACCTTTACCACTTAACACTGCTTATTTAGCCTAAGCGTGAAGGCACTTTTCCAGTCGTCCTGGTTCCGGTGAAGGAGAGACCGAAAAGGCCGAAGTTAACCACTCTGCGGTTGGGTCATCATAACCGAATCAAAATAGTTCGCATGTGTAGTTTAGTACGTCGACGAGGTCAAGCATAAATACTGTCTACTGAGACCCTCAGGGAGTACCAGCGGCCTACGAAACAATTCCCTGATACATGTATAAACCCAGCAGGATTCTAATTCCTTGAGATGAAAAATTGACTGGTGGGCGCTGTTTGGCTCACGCGTGCAATTAAGCTCTGTGTGGATGAGCAAAACATACCTGGGTGGTATAGGTAGATATTCGTCACATCTAGACTCACTCAGACAGCCGTCACACGCCCGGAAAAGCACTGTACGCGCGTTTCATCCTTTAGGGAATCGTTAGCAGTGCGGATTCCATCGGACCTTGGTAGGGCTCGAACCTGCAACTCGACTGTTACCAGTCCGTGGTTGAGACCACTGAGTGGGTGCAATTGAATCAATGTGCCGTTATAATTTGACTCGTCATTCCGTCGCAGTATGTCTTCCAATAGGAAGTGTACATCCGTCCACTTTGTGCTGATGAGTAAGGCGTAAGCAAACAGCACAGTTGTATTTTTGCCCAATTGGATATGCACGCCAAACGTCTCATGAGTAGCCAGAACGGAATCCATACGTTTGGACGATAAGATCAGACGCTTTCGTCCGTCACATGTTGCCCCATCGCTGCTTTCATAAAGATTGCATTAGCACATTGATAGTCCGCATTACGCGATTGTTCTGTGATTAGACGTCAGTCGGAAAAGTGCTGTGTGATGGGTTTTATCCCCAACGTCGTACATTCCAACGCGAACGGTTCACCGTAGGGTGGAGCATTAAGAACGAGTAACAGAGTCAACCTTCTTCACGTGGGATGTGATTAAGGGGACGGGTAGGACAGGGATACACTTCAAAGTAAATTCGTGATCCATCCTGACTGCGCGTAACATATTCTACCCACAACAAGTACTCCGAAACCCAGTGTAATTCCATGGATATTTTCACTAATGGAGCAGTCACCTACCAGCGGCCGAATGGAAAGTATAAGCCGTACTAGTGCGCTGACTCCATTTCGTTTCAACATAAGATTTCAAAATGATCCTCATCCCTTGGCTTTTCTTACAAACACTCATCTTTTGTTCCACAGGCCAGACTGGCACGTGAACCCGGTCAATATAGCCAAATGGCATACTCTGGTCACCGACAACATTTTGGCTGAGCCACTATGCCAATAAGCACCGTCGGGGTAAAACACACTGATCGCTTTCTGCGACGCCGTTGTTCATATATTGTCTGTAGCCAATGACACGGCCTCATTCCATTCCGTTTCACTGTGAAATGTCCTGTTTCCCTTTGTCCTATGAGCAACATCAGATTTCCACTTCAACACACACTTCAGTAGTTTTTGATTTTATTGGTTTTATTGATTTTGTTTACTTGGGGGTCCGGATCATACACCAATTCACTGTTCATTTTGCCGGTGCTGTGGATGCGAAAGAAAGCGAAAAGCCCCGGAGTTGAAGTCCAGTCTAAACAGACAGCAATTTCAGAAGTAGTTGACACGACCTTATGACTAAGCAGAGTTTAGGCAGTCTAGGTTCCAAACTGAAAGAACTGTGTACTTGAAAACTGAACTTCCGCCTTTACTTGGCGGTTTGGAAGTTGTTGCCACCCATCTTATCTCTATTAAGTGACCCGTTCGGTTCGCACCTGACATGCATCTGTGATCACCTAAGTAACAGAGAAACGATAGACGAACAATATTTAGGCATGCACTTTGCAGTGTTAAAATGCAAACTGACATTTGGGGGACTGCCATACACTTGTAAGCTACTAAGTCTTAACAACAAGAGGTGAGTTGCAGTTGATCAAATCAACTATACCGGCAGTTGCATTTTCAGCGACAGGCAGACAGCTGTTGAAATTAGTTCACGTATTACAAAGCGTTCGTGAATTCGCGTCGCCTTTGTGTCCTAGAGGGCTTCCCTTGCTCCTAAGAATTAGGCATACGAGGTTGCAATGAAGGCTGCTAGCTTCAAATGGGGTGAAATTCTTTCTCTTGTTTCGCAGATGTCTGATAGTTAGTCATAAGAGTCCATTGAAAACGGTTTACGTAGCGCAGGATCGGTTCATCCTCAGGGGTGCTGAACTTTTGAGCTGCCGAACTGTGGTTTAATACTGGTAAAAAGGTTAAAGCTAGCAAGGTGTTGTAGGATGGTCATGGTGACTATTACAAAAGATGAAACAGGTGCCAGTAAAAGCAAGTTCCCACCATTGAACTCACCACGATATGCTTATTATAAGCTTTAAATCTACTTTAAGTCCATAATGAATGCTGACAAACGGGAGACTTATTAAAAAATAATAGTGCCGCTTGATAAGCAAATACTGGAGGTGAAACTGGTATGTATTTTGGGAGCTGACCGTCACCGAACTGGTGTTTAGCCATGGACAGTCATGTGAGATGATGCAGTGAAGTGAGTACACGGTCATCTCGGGTACTGAACTCAACCAGCTTGAAAGCACAGATGGCAGATTCCGGGGTGCCGTTCTGCGCTTGTCAAGGGCGTATGGGAACGTAATTCCGATGGCATTCCAAACGAACGTATTGATCTTCCAGCTTGAGATAGTGGCCTCTCAGATTATTGTTGTGACTGAGCTCTAGCAAATGGTGACACTTGCGGTTTGGATCCATGCAAAAAAGGTCCCCTCGCAGTCACCGATATTCTCCGCCAAAGACCCCGAGTACTCGTAATGTTTGTTCCTAGGGAAAATGATTCAAGCCTTTAACATCCTTCACTGCCCGTCTTTATCTCCAAGGCGGTACGATCTCGCCACGGCCGTGGCTACCAGAGCAGTATTTTGTATTCCACGTGTGGACTTACATATGAGCCGAAAAACTGCTGAAAAATAGACTGGTCGAATTGTCCGAATGCATGTCTAAGGCAGCGATGGTTAGGCCAGTTCCTTGGGATAGCAAATATGGACAATGGACAATGGTTTATTACGGGTAAAAAAGCATCGCTTAACAAGTCCCGTGGGATGGAAGTTATTGCGAAAATAAATTGCATAATAAAGTGAAAAGCGTTGTGGTGGACTCACCATGGACTTATGTGGAATAGCGGAGATGTTCGCATATTAAACGTATAAATCCATAAATCCAATGGTTGGGCGTTTGGCAAGAAACCGTTTGATTGCGTTTTGTAGCCCCTGGCTAACAAGTCATAAAATGAAATGTAAGTGAGACAATGCATCGTCAACACTTTTTTAAATATCGCCAGATTGGGATAAGAGACGACATAATTAGGGAGGGCGTTCCAAGGCTGGTACACGCGAAGAGAAAAGAAATTTCTACGGCATTCAAGCCGGCTCTAATGAATTGTCAGTTTCAGAGGGTGACCTCTTAGTTTAGTGTTGTGGTTCAATTCCAGCAGCGGACGGCAAATGTGGTTTGGGTTCTTCAGAATCTGGTAAACCATTATGAGATCCCCCCGCAAAAGGCGATATCGACTGCTGTAGATTCTTAAAGATTTCAGTCTAAGCTGATAGGGTGTATCCGGAGGTGTATCTATACTCTACTACTGAGGAGGGCTTGCTTTTTTATTTACTAATAGACGGTATATTGCCGTAGATTTTTAACTTGGGTATCTCCGGTTCACCTCCCGCAAATGCTGTCCAAGTGATCCATCTTATTCATGACAGGTACTCTACATGGCATGGTCCGTGACTGGCACTGAAGCTTATTTATTATCATCGCCCAGCAGAATCATCCGTGTTCAAGATGCTGAATTGTCTCCGGTAAATTTGATTTTAATGAAGGGAACCCGTAAGGAGTCTGCCTCGCCGAGACCGTCTTGTCTTTGCATGGTACGCTGGTGTTCGTTGACGTACGGTGTTATCCAGGTAGGCACCCAGGTGTGTATGTTTGTTTAGTGAGATCCGCTACCGTAACAAGTATCTTTTAGTACGACTCTTATTCTCCATTCACTTGGCTGAGGCTGTATAGTAGCGTATATAGTAGCGAAACCCGTTGGGGTTCTACGTTCTGGTTGCATTTTGTGTAGAAGAAACATGATGGTGCACAGTGAGCCACTCATGAAACCGACTGAGCGAACCTCGGCAACACTGTTACAAAAGCGCGCGACCAGACTACCTTGCGCTAATTGCGTTGCTTGGTAATTATCCGTATACCTTTCTGCTCACGTGACATCTTACCGCTCGATGATCCACGGCTCCCACACTACGATACGTGTCGTCAGGATTCACATAACGACTATCAGGCACTTATTCTAACGTTGTCTAACCAAGCATCCAGGCATCCCCGAAATGGTACTAGACAAATGATTTGTCTTTTCAAGACAGATAATCCATTGCATTCTTACGGATCGGTGAAGGGTCTGAGATCTTCCCCATACATTTGCAAAAGGATCGCCATGCCTCCGGACCGATAGCGGATACTAACAACCGAAGCAAAAAATCAGGTGCTGCTGTTTAGTTTCCACCGCTTTGCACGCGCACATGTAGTTGTCATGCTCAACTATCGCAAACAGAATCAGTTTCCTGTACACAAAGGGTTAATTATGATCCCGTTTTCTCCATGGGACAGAAAGAAGACGCATTGCTATTCAATTTCCCTTTCAGCGGCGACTGTCCCATGCATCTCCGGATGTCAATGACCGTCAGAAGCATTAATCTGAGTGACCCGTTTGAATACCTGCTGATATGTCTTAACTTCGGTGTTCGTGAGAGTTTACACCCCCTCTTTACAGTAATTCACTGGCTTCTATGCGTTCTGCCACACCACTGATTGTATCAGCGATTATCCGACACGGTTACCACTGTAACAGAGCTGTCATATGCCCGGACCCGCGGCGCAACATAGGCTACTCAGCACATGTCTTCTTCTCATTACGTAGTGTTTTAATCCTGTCATGCCCTCTTCGACTAGATCTGGAACAGGAGGACGCGCAGGTTATCCGATACAACTGACAAACAGCCCACCACACGCGCTTGCACACATTAAGCTAACATGTGCACTACTGTTAACAAAACAGACATTTCCTCTTAACTGCTCTGTTTTTGATGTCGTCTTCATTCTTACTGCGTTGAAAATAGGATCTTCCATTGAGTAATCGAACTCTCAGCGCAAATTCGGGGAAGCCACATTTCTGCGATAACGTAGTAGCTGTGATGTGTGGATGTTTCTTCCGGTGTAATTTGATCCATGTTATGAGGGTAACAATGACCGATGAATACCAGAAACCATCTTCCCCGGCCGCAGTCGGATCCCGTTTCTGTTTTGTTTGCACAAACGACGTTACACCTGATGTGCGCATGGTTGTGCACTTTCGCTATGCACTTCAGGCTGCAAAAATCTAGCCCAGTAAGAGAATCCCTTCCCGGTTGCAGCCAAAAAACTGGACGGTTTCGGCATATTTTTCTCTGGGTACGTAACTTTGCGCAGTCATCACATTTCGGTGATTAACCAAATCAAGGGAGCCCAAAGTTGCAGAAAAATTTTGCTAAAACAATGGACTATCACAATCTGCTGACAGGCACATCGTGAGAATAGCGATCAGCGGTATGGTTGGCGGCATCAGATTCCGTTTGCTTGTCAATTCTGCCTCCATAGGACAGCCAAAGGGCGCCTGCGCCTACAGAGGAACCATGAGTGGAACGTGCTACACCACCCACAGACCCATACACTCAACCCGTGTCCAGTGTAAACTCTAGGAACTACGACCGGGAGGCATGTGGATTGGAGTCACGTTTCATCAACGGAGCCGGCCCACACACCTTTATCAAGCAGAGCAGAAGCATACATGTATATTTAGGAAATCGTCCGTACCAGACGCGCACATGGAGGTGGCTGGACCGAAGCCTGTCCCACACTGGATGCATAGAACCAATAACTGAGCTTAGCAGGGCCACGGGGACCGTGCATCCCGTCCTTCCAGCAACAATCCATGGTCTCCTGGAGCCAGTATAAGTGAGATGGTGGGCAATAGACGGATAGGCACCTTGTCAAACTTCACAACAAGCGCAGCCACACCGGGGATGTCAGTAGCCAACACCCGGAATGTAAGAAACTCAACACGCTGCCACACGCACAGAACAACTGCAATGACGATGCAGCCAACCTACCACATCAACCGCCTCATTGACCTGGATTAATAAATTGAAACGGAAACAGCGAACGTACCAAACGCCACGCTGATTTTGACTACACATTTAGCATACGCGTCTTCACTTAGAGATTGGCCCAACGTGGCGACTCTGGTGGCTTACCAGACTCGCTTTACTGAGACCATCACGACCGCATGTGCTACAGCACAGTGCGATCGATGTCGAAGAGTCATTTTCCACCGATTCTTGTTGCTTTTTCAACAGACGTTTCTTTTCCGCATG